TAAATATAACCAAGAAGTATTTTGACAACAGGGAAGTGTATCATATATTTATGTTGCAACACTGTACCTGCTGTTCTTACATATCGTGTTCTGTGCATTTTGAGCTCTCGGCGTCTGTGTTTGTGTCATATTCTCATACCGTCATACGTGTCATACATGACAACTCGTCTTCTTTAATGAAATGATATAAAATAGTCGAAATTTGAATAAAACCGGCAAGCATGGAAGGTTTTTCATGCATCGCTTGTACAGATTTTTAGTAGAAGACTCTATAATCAGGATTATAGTAATGGTGGTAAATAAGGTAGCAAAAGCAATGTCTAATCAACCTCAACTAGGTCAAAAAATCCGCTAAAAATACAATACAGTTTGTAAATGTAAATTGTAAATATCGTTTTTGTCACCTTTTTTAGCATCATTTCTATAATCCACGATCAAAATATAATATGTCTTGAGCAACGGAGAAATAAATAGGTACGCCTATTCCTGTTACTAAAATGTACCAAAAACTATTTTCCACCATGGAAAAAGAGAACATCAAAAAATATTTTATAATATTCATGGAAAATGTTAAATCTTCATTATTTAGAAAATATTCATTAAGTATTTTCGGCTAAGGCGCATGTGCATGTGACCCCGATCGCCCAATGGGATAATGGCAAGCCGACATGAGCCGACCCCTTTGCCGGAATCCACTTTGCCTGTGAGTTTGGCGATGATGGAAAAGGGTAAGTTTTTCGATAATTACATAGCTTAATTTATCTGAGTGGAAAACATTATTGTGCCAATTGAGTATAAAGGCATTTACAAGGCCATAAATAACTAGCCTTGAAGTGTAACAGTTATTTGCGATTTGGGATTGGTGGATTTATCTAAAAATATATATCTCGATTATTATTATTTTTGTAACAGTAGGGGGCAAATCTGTAACTATTTTAAAATTTCTCCAACAGCGACGTTCCAAAATTTTAACAGTCGAAAATACTATATTTTTGTCCCTTGAATTATAATATAAACTCACAAAATAATTATGGCTAAATTAGCCCCCTTGCTACTGCAAAAAGGTCACATTCCAACAAAATCAATGAGTGGTCTATTTTTAAAAACCTTTTCTTTGAAAGTTAGTCAAAGGGTCAAGTTGTGTCCATGGATATTTTTCATCAAGATATCAAAAATAACATACCAAATTTTCCTACAAAACTAACCAAATCTCGACCCCTCATAGAAAGAAAATGTGGGGTCCTTTTAGGTGCATTATAGAGCTGCTTCTCAGTGACCCAGTAGAGTTACTCGGAGTAACTTAGCAGTGCTCAGCACCAATGTTGTTCCATTGCATTTTATTTTTCCATAAATATACTTTCTGGAGTAGTTTGGGAGAATATCTCTCTCAAACAAAAGATCACTGGAAAGCAACTTATGTATTCAATAATAACGGGTAATTTTTTAATCGCCTTCTTTTCAAAAGTTGAATCAAACAGCTGAAAATTCATTATGTATACAAAAGCTTTATTGGAACCGATAAACTGGTTCTTGCCATTTACTTTTTAAATATTACTTCATGCAAATGTTGACCACGGCTACGTTTCAAATAGTCCATACTGAACGTCCAATTTTTCACTACTTCTTCCAATATTTCGTCCGGAATTCCAACAATACACGAGCTATGTAGGTGTATTGTGTAAAGCCTCAAAAGTGTTGGGCTTGTCCATATACACCAACGATTTCACGTAGCCCCACAAGTCGCATGAGCTTGGTGGCCAATTTACAGGACCAAAACGAGAGATAAATTGCTCACCAAATTCATTCCTTAAAATGTCCATTGTTTAACGTGCCGTGTGACATGTGGCGCCGTCTTGTTGAAACCACATGTCAACCAAGTTCAGATCTTCCAATTTGGGCAAGTTACAGATCATGGATCGATATCGTTCGCCGTTGACGATAACGTTTCGTCCGATGTCGTCTGTAAAGAAAAACGGCCCGATAATTGCACCAGCCCATAAACCACACCAAACTTTTGTTTTTTCTGGATGCATGGGCAATTCTTGAATAGCATGTGGCTGCTCATCACATCAGATCCAGCAATTGTGCTTGTTAACACATCCATTTAGCCAAAAGTGAGCCTCATCGCATTCACTAAAAATTTGACGTTGTGGTAGGTCATTTGGCTTCAATTGTTGCAAAACTTGAATTTTGTAAGCCTTCAAACCCAAATCGATACGTAAAATTTTCCAGGTGGTGGAGTAACACATTCCCAACTGTTGAGATCTGCGGCGAATGGATATTTCACGATCTTCATTAACACTGGTTGCTACGGTAAGCACTGTACGCATGCGAGTCGTCGGGTAAGTGTCCAATAAAGTAAATTTGGTACGAAATTTGGTACTAACACCTCTAATTGTGGTTTCACTAGGTCGATTACGACGACCATAAAGTGGCGATAAACAGGCGAAACACATTTTTCACAGAGCACGAATTTTGGTAATAAATTTCTACCATTTGCATTCGTTGTTCGTTTGAAAGTCTTTCTTGATAAAATGGCATAGTGTGCTGAACAATTCTGACTTTGACAGATTACGCTTGGACGCCATTACATATCAGTGCTGCCAGCTTGAAAAAAAAGGTCGTAAAAAAGCACCCATTACTTTATAATCAGTGAGTTTTTTTTTTCAGAGGTGTGGATTTCGATGATGCAGAAGAGGCTCAGAATGTTTTTTAATTATATTTTTCTAGCAAATTACACCATTATATCTAGAATGAATTTTCTTTATAAACCAAATTTTATTCCTACAGATTTTGCTAAAATAATAAATGAAGAATTTTCTATACAGACTTTGATGTTGAGTCATTAAGTTTCAGATAATGATTGTAGAAGAAAGATAAACCAAAATATGTGTGTAAAAATTAAAAAAAAATAAAAAAAAAATGTCACCTTGTTTTTTAAAGTATCCTCCCGACAAGTATCTCAGTGCGGACCTGTATTTGATCGTGCGGTCTTGGAGCACCGGCATCCCTCCCCTGTGAGGTTTTAAGTCACCTGATTCACGAGCCCTTTGTACTACATTAACAAAGGCACGAGGGGTTGGTTGCACTCGATTGGGAAACCGATCCGCAACAGACACCACTATTCACTCACGCGTTACCGACTGACACTGACTGTATACAACTGAATAAAATAATTGTAAAAACATCGTTCCAAATTCTTTCGCTTTTTTGTTTCCGATGCCATGAACCGATAAGGCGGATTATATCCGTTGTTGCCAAACACGAGCACATTGTATTATTATTGAGACAGGGCGGTACTCAAACTTCCAAAGGGCTATAACTTTGTTACTTTAATTTTACCAGAACAATGGTAAAGGAAAAAAACATTTTTTTTGATTAGATCTACTCACTGTTGAAATAAATGACTCAACTTCGAAGTCACCCTGTATACACTGAAAATATGTATCAGATTAATGCTTGACAATTCATACATATTTACGAAAAATGTTAGATATTTCATCAAAATATAAAATTGATATTTAAAAATCTTTCCTCATATATTTTCTAAATATTTGGAAAAAATATCGTTAAAAATATATCGCTACAAATATCTATAAGGAATATTTTAACAATATATAAGAGATATATTTATTAAATATTATAAAATCTGTCGCTACAAATGTTTAACAAACATTTTTTTTTAAATACTTAATACATATTTAATGCCATCGGTGTGTAGCGTAAACACGGTGTTCTATTTTCGAGATATGGTTACTGTTTTCCAATCATCCTGTATAACGGATGGTCTGATTTCTTCCTACCTTCTTCTGCTTCTCTTCAAGTAATTTTGTGGGAAAAGATGTTACTTTACTCAGAAAGGCAGTATATCATGCCTGTCTAAACTGATTTCCGAATCAAACCGTTCCACTCTAGTAATTTGTAGTATTGAGTTAGGAGGTCCCTGAAATCATTATTTGCTTTACGTTTGTCTTCGGTGTTTTCCCTTTTCCAATTTTGTTTTGTTTAATTTTCGCCAACGCAGACTCTGCCCCATTAATATTTATTAAATTTTGAATAAAATTCAATTCAGAAGTTTATTCATTAACAGCTCTTCCGTGATATACTACATCAGACGAAATATATTGCTTGATTAGGTAGAGGAATGAGATAATGCCAAGTAATGGGAATCAACTATAAACTCATACACTTTATGAATATCAAAAAAATCGACCCTGCTTACCAGACTTGTAACATTCAACCATTAATAATCCGGTCAAAATAAAAGTCAGGTTTATAAAAATTCCCACAACTCTGAAAATTGGTATAGGCCTTGAATACACCATTATGAATAATATATCAAAACTCATATTTCCTTGTAGTGGAACCTTGTCTTATTTGGGTTGAAATGTCAAAAATATCACGTTTTGTCATATTTCTCTGAAGGTGAAAGAGATACCACAAAAATACCTTGTACAAAAATTGTAAAGCAGTCGTCGCCAACCTTTTCAGTGTGTTGAGCTACTTTGACCATTTTGGAACAAACAGTGAGCTACCTAGTCGTAAGCAATGTGCGCCAACTTAAATGAAATTATACATGCGTATGCGACATACATGTGTTTATTTTACTGATATTAATACTAATAAACTTGAATAAACTAATAACTAATACATACTACATATCTGCATCCATTCCTACCAATCGTAGGTTTTTTCTAAAATAAACATAATTTCAAAAAACATAAAGGTAACTAAGAATAATAAAAGCAACGCACTATTTTAAACAAAAACATGTCCAGATAAATAATGCGTGTTCAATGGAAATCCTGACACTCAGACTCAATGACATTTTTTTAATGTAAGTCGATTACGGTATTTGTTTTTAATAAACTTCATATTTGAGAAAGTTGATTCACGCAAATAGGTTAAACTAAATAACGCTTTTACTTTCAAGGCAACACGACATAAAACTAAATATTTATCTTTACTTACTGAAGGCCAGATACATTTTGTATTTGAGACTAATGAATCACTGCAACTGCTGTCGCAGCGGTATCTTCGCTAGAATTCTGCGTAACAGAAGTTGCAAACTGTTGGATATCAATTTCCATGAAGGGTGAAACAACCAATTGCGCCACTATAGCAATTTCGTTGAAATCCTTGAAACGATTTTTGAAGTCATCCTTCAAGTTAGAGACTATTTCTACATGATATTTACTGTCACATGGTTCTAATGGACTTTGTGATATCTTTTCTGAAAGAACATGATAGTGCCGGGTGTCGCCATCGATTAAAGTTTGTTCCCAAAACTGAAGCTTTTTGATAAACGCTTTTATATCAGAAATCATTTCTGCTTGTTCTTTGTCTCTCCCCTGAAGCTGTAAATTAAGTTCATTTAACTTTTCTGTAATATCCACAAGAAAACCAATATCTCTAAGACAGATTCAGTTTTCCAGTTCCGGAATCGGTTCATCACGTTGTTTAAAAAATTGAACTATGGCAGATATGATATCATTTAAACGTTCCAGCACTCGTCCCCTACTTAACCATCGGACTTCAGAGTGAAGAAAGTAGTTCCCGTATTGACAGTAAATTTCATCGGTCAAGGTTTTGAATAATATTCAATAATCTTCTTTGTATCGCTTAAGCTCTAATCTTGTTCACAATTTTTACTACCAATTTCATAGCGTTGTTTAGTTTTAGAAAATGTCCACATAATGCTTGCTGATGGATAGCGTTAACAAAAAAATTGCGGAAATCTTTCATCTTTACGACATCACCCCCACGGGACCCTTATCACGACCTGCCATAGCTGGAGGGCCATCGGTTATCAAGCCAACCATTTTCGATATTGGAATTTTCCCAGAAGAAATTAATAATATTTTTAGAAGAAGAAAACAAGTCCCGCCCAGTAGTCTGTCCTTTTAGTGGAATAAGCTTCAAAAGATCTTCTTTAATCGTAAAATCACTAAAAACCATTTTGACGAACACGGCCATCTGAGAGGTGTCAACGACATATGTGGATTCATCCAGCTGCAGTGAAAAATAAGCACAGTTTTCAGTCATTTCTTAACTGTAAAACTATATATATCATTGCTCATTACTTCTACTTGTCTCATCACTGTATTAGCAGAAAGTTGCATAGATTTTATAGCAGACACTAGCTCGTCTTTATTTCTAAAGATGGCAAATAATGAATCTGCAACTTCTAAAAACGCCTGTTTTATCATTTCCCCGTCTTCATAAAGTTTCTTCTTTTGTGTAATTATCTGGTACACCCGGTATGATGCTTCACTTTCAGCCTTACTTTTGTCGACTGTTTTTAAAAGCATTGTCTGTTGTCCAATTAACTGATTTTTTAATGGTTTCAGTTTTTCCGTTCTTGTTGGGAATGATTTTTCAAAATTCGAATGTACAGTTTTATATTGCCTCTCGATATTTCCTTTTTTAGCAACGGAAATAGATGTATTACATAACAAACATACATGTTTACCTTTAACTTCTGTAAAGAAATATCTTTCTTCCCATTCCGAATGGAAATGGTATGTCTTCATCTTCTTACTACTGCTCATAATGTTGTCAATTGCAGGAGAACTCTAACCCACCGCTGGACTTTGTGCCGTTCAATTTTAAACTGAGCGCACTGTCGCCGCGCCTTGCGTATTTATTCCCTTCAAAGTAATCGAGATCGTTCTCGAACAGATCGCTCACCGCAGTGTTACCGCGGATGCTTCTATGATTTTTACACGTTTTTAAAGTATGTTGCCTTTGCGAGATACCGGTAGCTCGCGATCGACGGGTTGGCGACCACAGTTGTAAAGAATACAATTATCTATAAAAGTTTTTCTAGTACTTTTATTTCTTGAGTCACTGTTTATGAGATCTAGTGACCTGTAATCTCTCAACTTTTCTTCTGCTCTTATGAACATACAGGGTGTCGCAGAAATAACACGCCAGAGTGACACGGGAGGTAGATTGGCTTCAGATCAATCAGATAAAATCAACATGACCTTAGTAAAGGTTGAGCCATTGAGCCTAAGGGCTCAGTATCGCGAGTGGGCATCAAGAAGCTTAGCACCAGGAAGTCGTGTTGTTCCAGGAGATCGTGCCGTTCCAGTAGCGTAAATTATATTTTGAGATGGCCAAGTTGTTGGGAACTACCTTCCATAAGCGAAGTCAGTTGAGTAGGAACTTCGATGAAGGAAGCGAAAAGAACTCTAAATCAATATCGAAAATATAGAGAATTAAAGACTAGGACTGAATTATTGAAGGGGTAACTTGACTGGGATTGGGATGTCTACCAATGCTTCGACATTTATTTCACAAGGAATGAAATTAAGGGAATGTCTTAAAAAGGGCTTTTCAGTATTACCACAAGTCATATTATACTTCTGAAAAGGACATGGTTGCTTTCAGTCTCCTATAACCATGACCAACTGCTGACAGTGCTGTTTCGTGCTTATTAGCAACTGATCAGTGCGGCATAGGTCTTGGTTCTAGTCGTGAAGACGCTAGATTGTATAGCTGGAAGTATATTTCAGCCTCATCAAGTATAAGGTTACCATCCTCTTACGTTTTCAATGGTTTCAGTGATAAGCGGATTGATGGTATTTTCCAACATATCCAAGTAAATGTCTTCATTCAAATTCCATTAAGAAACAATGGGTCAATCACTTTGTTTCCTAAAATGCCTGCCCATCCATTAATTTTTTGGGGGTACTGGATATGCCCTTCTACAAGAGCATGAGGATTTTACCACGCACTTTGGTTTTGGCCACCATAAATTAGAATCATTTCCACTCTTTCGGTTAGTGTGTAAACCATTTTGGAAGTAAAATCTGAATCAATAAATTAATTTTCACTATCCCAAGATTGTCAGAAAGGTAACTGATAGCAAACTTAATTTTTTCTTTCCCTCAGCAACAAATAACTAAACAGGTATAACAATAAATACAGTTTGCCCAGGATATCTGTGTTGATGAAAAGAATGCTTCTGCAAAGTCTGCAAAATTCGGGTTGTTATTTGGATGTTGCCGCGTCTAATCTTCCGTATTGCTGTTTATGTTTATAGTTTCCCTTTTAAATTATAAACGAATTGGTGATTTGACAAACCCTAATGAGCAGCATTTTGTACGCTTATTGAAATAAAAAGTGATGTTTTCGTGTGTTTTTGTTTTCTATCTGAACAAATTAAGAAAAATAAAAGAAAATTCTAATTTTCATGAAAACAAATGACCGATTTTGAAAGACCTTTCAAACAAGCTATTACTCGATACCCCTTGTCATTTAAATTTTTTAAGGCACTGACCCTGGGGGTCGAGGGTGAAAGGGGGTGAAGTAGTTTTTGGTTAAAAAGTTGTCTCGCTTGACAACGCTTTTGACGTGTCTCGGAGTTTTTTCTCTTATAATCAGCGGTTTTCGATAAATTCGTGTTAGGAAGCTATCAAATCACCTGTAACTTTCCAGAAGCTGAGCACATAAAAATGGTTTTGCTCTATAGTTAACTATATGAGAACGATCCCCAGATTTAAAACGGGTTACACTCTTGCAGTTTTCCACGAATCTGGAAGTTTGCATGTTTTTGTGGCTAAATTGAATGACTTGCTTAACGGCATGGACAAAACATGAATACAGTCTTTAACAAAGAAGGACAGTAACTGATTTGGATCAGTAGTTACTTTATTTTTGAGCTTTCTAGAGGCAAATATAACACCTATAAGCTGGCAAAAAATACAATTTCTACGAGATTCTACGAGATTTATACGATTTTAATACAATAAGGTTTTTGAGTGGCTGAGTTTGAATCGGGGGTCAGTTTGTTTCTATAAGGGCATTTGAAGATCCTTTCAAGGTCATAGCAAGGACATTTTCAAAGAAGCCGACCAGTTTATCCCAATTAGGAGGTAGGCAATGACCAGTCGACCGAGGCGGTACCATCCGCTAGCTTTTATAGCTTATAAATGTCCGCATGTTTCCACACCTAGGCTACGCATGCGGTTATCTTCTCCAGCAAAGAAATTAATGATGATGGATCCCTCGAGCACTAAGAACTCCGTCTCTCGTGATGTCCGTGTGGAGGGTGAAAACGAGGGAACAACATCGGAGAGAAAATTTGTTTCACGAACATCTGCGGGATTAACAGCAACATTTATGCTGCTTATCACTACTTGCAATCCAATGCTCCTGCCATGCTTTGTTTGGCGGAGACAAAAATCTCAGTCTGCACCGATTAACCATCTTAGCTTCCAAAATTACGAGGTGCACTCCAATCTGAGAAAGAAAAGGATATTGTCCACAGCAGTCTTGTCTGCTCCAGAGACGCTTCTTTGGAATCAGATCGGAAAGGCTTTCTGTGGCTTCGCCTCAACTCCAAAACACCCCCAAACTTATTTGCTGCCTTTATCGCTCTCCCTCGGATCAAAACTTTGATGGCTTACTTCAATACCTCGCCATCAAGATCGACTTCCTGAACATCAATCACCCTGCTTCAGAAGAAGCTCTCCTCCGCGATTTCAATGCCCATAATGAGCTTTGGTTGGGCTCAAACAAGACCGATGCAGCAGGTCGTGTAGCTGAAGCATTCGGTCTTACTCAGGGGCTGACACGGATGCATCGGCTATCTGTTCTTCGATAACCGAAATTATCCACGTCGGGATGGAGGAGTACATCCCTCATAAAGTGAAAGTGCCTAAACCTGGGTCCAACGGCAGGTTCAACAAATCGTGTGACACCGCTCGCCAGCAGAAGACCAAGGCACAGAGAACGTTCTTTTGTACAGAACAGACAAGCCGAAATCGAGTCCAGAAACAAATATAACGAAGCGGTCCGCAATGCCAAAGACCAGCACGATATACAAGTTAGGCAAAGGGTAATGCAGCAGAGCAAATTGAAATGAACTTCTCGCACAATAGCCACAACTTACGTGTCAGGATGGAACGATTGTAACCGACAGAAGTGCTTGCCAAGATCTTTGCTGCCAACTCCACCTTGGACGTCAACCTCTCCCCCCCCCAAGTGCCGTCCATTCAAAAGGTTACCTGCGGGAATTAACATTCAGTCATAAGACCCTAAGATGGGTGCTCTTGTCGCTCGACATCAACAAAGCTTCTGGTCGGGACCTGATTCCTGCCATTGTTCTGAAGAGGTGCTAGGCTATTTGTTTATGGCTAAGAAGTACTTTACTCCGCATGACCTTCTCAGTCTATACAAGGCTCAGATAAGGCATAGCCTTGAGTACTGTTCACACGTTTGGTGTGCTGCCGGCCCGACTACATTATTTATGTTCGATGATGTCCGCTGATCGTCGACTCTTCTCTAACAGTCAGTCTCGGAACCCTTTCTCACCGGCGGGGCGTGGACGAACTAGCTCTCCTCTACCGCTACACCAACGGGCTTTGCTCCTCAAAGCTCTCTTCCATGATGCCGCCGCGCGATGTGCCTTCCGGACCCTCCCGACTTTGACCTTCCATTCTAACCGTGTCAAAGTTCTTACATCCAGAACTGGCGGATACGACCACTCCTTTGTCCCGAAGATGTCGAGATTGTGGAACAATCTACAAGAGGAAGCTTTTCCCAGTTCTACTAACCCTGAGCAGCACAAAACTCGGGTTATCAAAATTTATTTGGGAACCTCATAGCAGCCTCGGTGTCCCGGCATTTAGGCTTTTTCCTGCGCGGCTGCTTCGGTATTAAAGAAAACTGCATGTCATTTAGGTTTTCAAGGTCACTAAGAGGAACGTGCAAAGTCAAGACGGGTATGATATAGGTTTTCGTGGTCATTGGGTTCAAATCAGTGATCAGTTTCAGGAAGACATTTGAAGGGGATTTTAAGGTCACTCAAGGGCAAATTCTGAAGAGTTGAATAGCTGTTTCATACCAACTGATATAATATGGCAGCTTATAGGGTTGCACTTATCGATAGTTTGCAAATGTTTTCAAAAGCTGATGCTACATTTTATCCGGCAGTACGTCAAGGTTCAAGAACATAATTTATTGATGGCCGGAATCTTATTAAAAACTTCGCTCAATATCTGTACTAATATAAAAAAGTGAAGCTAGACACAGTAATCCATTCAACTTACGATCAACAGAAAACACAATAATGACAGATATATGTTACATCAAATGAAAATTCGTACTCTCTTTATTATGATTCATAATGAGATTCTCAAATATTTTCAACAAATAATACAACGGGTAATACAGAAGCTCTACAATTTTGAGATGTAGCCGCGGATTATACACCATAAACTTCAACTTTAATATAATAGGTAATAATTTTCATTCATTTTCGATACTTTGTTTTTTCAATTATTTCTCTAGATTTTCGCAAACATAGACCACTGTGCAACACAATGAAACACGAGCAATCAATGTACATTTTATTAACTAAAGTTTACAAAAACACCAATCTTTTCACTATAATTAAAGCCTAAGGTTTATAAAAAATAGTTTAAATGTTCTAGAACACAGTTATATTCAATACTTCGAAGCTTTACATTACCTATTCGCATCACTAATCAAATTTGTATTTTCCTTAAAATAAGAAAATTCAACTTGGTATTAAAGCTTGAGCTACACTTCCAAGAAGTAGGGAAATTTAAAATAATTTCCCGCAATTTAGTCTACTCTACTGATTTTCATAGAACGAATGGCGACCTCTAATTCTATACATTTTTCAATCAGTGAGTAAAAAAGGCGGATTTGATTTTCCATTTCAGGCTAGATCAGAAAACCCAATTTAGCACTTAGGACATTCGCCTATGTGGGTTTTTCTCTTCTAGCCAGTCTAATCTTAACTCCATTTTTGGACTTCATCACAGCTTCGGCGACTAGCTTTAATTTGTGTTCAGGATTCGTTGGTAACAGCTTGTAGTTTCTGACTAGCTTAGAGACGATGCTTTTAACTTCGTTCATTGCAAACTTTTGACCTGCAAGTGAGACGTATAACAATGATAACACCCATCGTTTGGGACTTCAAATGATGGTCGTGAAAGTCTTGCACAATTCATAATACCCTTACTTTATTAAAGTTTTCGAGATTACAGTACTTCTTCGTCAGATTGCGTATAAGTAAAAATTTTATTAATTAATGGAAACTCACCTATACAGTTTCTGGGTCCCGCGCTAAAAGGCACAAAGCTGTATGGCTTCTTTCCATCGTTATACTCAAATCTACTAGGATCAAATTCGTTAGGGTTCGGGTACTGCTCAGGGTCTCTCATCATGTGGTATATACATAGGGTTATGTTGACATCCTTAGGAATCAGGTTACCTGTAACATAACGGTTAGTTTTAATTACCAAAGTGCTTGTTGCTATAACTATATAACTACAACTATTTAAAACTGTAATGACTCATACGCGTGATCAACACGTGAGCAGAGCTCGATCCCGGCTTCCTTCCAGTACAGCCGTATAGCGTACGACATATGTCGTTTCTGTGGCTTTGCGGTGGTCAACAGCACAGACAGAGATGGAAATAATGGCTGATTGTTCTCCGCCGGTAGAACCAATTAAATCAAAGACGCGCCTCGACCGGCAGACTCATAGGCGTCGGCAACGCATTGGAACGTGTTTCGTTGAGCGATCGCATATTGTGTGTTTACTGTTTTGGTTATACTTAACCATGGAGAGTACAAATGGCACGAGTGGACGTACTGAAAGCCAGGGAACAAGTAGACGGCTTCGTAAAGCACTGAAGAGGGACGCGAAAGAAATCGTGCTCAACGTGTTCAATTATCTGAACAGAACTATGTCGCAGGGAGATGCACTCGAGCGTTGTGAAAGTATGACAGGCGTTCCAGAGTGGACCATTCGCAGGGTGGTGCATGAAAAGAAGAAAACTGGAGCTACTACTGATCCAAAGTTTAATTTGAAGGGACGAAAGGCCGTTAAATTGGATGACGATAGCAAAATGGCGTTAAGGCATTCTTTAGGAATGAGATACCAACCCTCAAGGCTGTACATGCAGCGATCAAGGAAAATGAAATTATACCCCAAATGAGCGTCGAGGTAATGAGGAAATCCCTGCACGAAATTAATTTTCGTTACGAAACGCGTAAGTCAGTATTGATAGAGAGACCTGAAATAGTCACCTGGCGTTGAAAATACCTACGCGAAATGATTGAATATAGGCGACAAAGCAGAAAAATCTATTATTTGGACGAGACATGGGTAAATGCAGGTCACACAGTTAAAAAACCTGGATAGACAAAAACGTAGTGAGTAACCGACAAGTAAGCATTGAAGGTTTGTCAACAGGTCTTCGTGGACCGTCAGGGAAAGGTCAAAGATTGATCGTAACTCATATTGGTAGCGATAGTGGCTTTTTAGAAGAGTGTGACTTGATTTTAGTTTCTAAGAAAGGAGGTGATTACCATGACGAAATGAATGCCAGCTGCTTCGAGAGCTGGTTTCAAGGGGTGCTTCAGCGAGTTGAGCCCAACTCTGTGATCGTCATGGGTAATGCTTCCTACCATAGTCGTCGAGCCGAACGTGTACCGACTATGGGATCTCGAAAAAGTGACATGCAGCAATGGTTGCGGGAAAAAGGAATCCCGTTGACGATTCATGTGTGAAAGCGGAATTGTATGAAAAAATTAAACAGCACAAACCTGCGAACATTAGTTACGTGACTGATGAGATGGCCCGTCAATGTGGTGTCACTGTGCTGCGGTTACGGCCCTACCACTGTGAACTGAACCCAATAGAGCTCATCTGGGCTCAAGTGAAGGGTTATTTGGCGCCATAACACAAACTTCAAATTACCAGACGTTAAGGTTTTACTTGAGACTTCTATACAGCTAGTAACGCCCGAAGCTTGGCAGAATGCTATCCGTCATGTTGTGAAGGAAGAAACAAAAATGTTTATTACTGTCAGATGTAAGTGGAAGCGACGATGAATAAAGGTAATTCCCAAATTTTTGACTTACAATATGTTTCAAATCACTCTTAAATCGCATGTGACAAATCTTGTTCACCCATGTTAAACATTCATACCCCGCCTATGAACAGCCGACTACTGGTAGTTAAGTGATGTTCACGTGAACATCGATGAGTCATTACAGTTTTAGATAGTTATAGTATAGCTTGTAGCAGTGCTGCAGTGGAAAAAAATGTCATTGTTTAACAGTAGGCATTCAAAAGGGACTGACAAAGGTTCGTCAATAACATTGAGTGAATCAACTCCTCGACAGAACTGTACTTTTCCTCCTGACTCTTGACTGAACTTAATAAGGTGAACGGGCACACAACTCTAATACGGGTCTATCCCTACTTATCTTTTGAATGGTTCAAGTTAGTTACCTACATTTTAGAGCAAAAGTAGCAGTTGAAGATTTTAAGATGGCGGCTAGACGAAATTCCATTTCAAGAAGTTTTACAAAATCTGGTGACTGTTTTTGACTCACCACTTTACATATACTTTATTACACGTTTAAAAAGATCCTACCAAATGAAAAAGATAAAAATAATCACCGGCGATAAGTATCGATGAACTACGAAATTTCGATTGGGATGTTGTTGTTATGGTATTTTACGCTGTTGCCATCATTCACATGTAGAAAACCAAATAAACGTCTGTTAGCTCGTAGATCGTAGGTATACATTGTATTTTTAATATAAACACAACCTCAGCCACAATATATATGCGCCTAGAAAGTATAATGCCCCAACGGCGACTATGAATTTGATACATAGCGTATGTTTATACGTTAGCATGTCGTCTGCGGATGCAGCAGATGAAACTGAGAATATTTCTCAAAATGCTTCCTGCAGCCATGTTTCCTCTTCAGTGATGTCTCCTCCCCAAAAACGTGACAAAAAGGGACATTTGAATATTTAGACAAAAGATATTGTCCTTGGCGTTTATAAGAGCGAAATTTTAGAGCATCCTGAAATGAAAATTTATGATATAGAAGGACGTGTGGCGAACAACACTGGCTTATGTCCTAAGACAATTTTCAACATTGTTAAAGAATGAGAAAAAGGCAAAAAATTGTCTCTACCACACAAGGGGCTGCATTACACGAAGCTGTTGGATACAGTTAATAACTGATCGGAATGCAAAGTCCATCAATTTTTTGAAATGCAGCAACTTCCCACCATAGACAAAGTATTCCAGGAGGTTAATAGTGATGAAGACTTACCTACTTTCATAAGGACCACATTCCATACTCAAAGAACTTTATTTTGAGTATTGAAAACGGGACAGAAATAGTATTTTGATGGACAGCCAAGAGATTATTTTAGGAAGAAAAAATTATTTAAAATCAATAAAGAAAAACCGCGACCAGGGCAGGAAGATTTATTACTTGGATGAAACCTGGATAAATGCAGGACATACAAAACCGAAAGTATGGGCTGACTCTACAATTCAATCAGCAAGACAAGCCTTCTTAGATGCACTAACCACTGGCCTAAAGAATCCGCCAGGTACGTGTATCCAACCAATTCGTCATGTGTCTTGTAAAAATGGTGTCAAGTAGACTGAATCTATGAGCCCACGCTGAAAACTTAGCTACCCTAAGCTTAGCTTTATCTGGTAGATTTGGAACCAACACCTGTTAGATACTCTGCTTGTATTATTATTAGTTTTCTTGAATACTATTTGAAATCATTATTTCCAGGAAAACGAAAACGATTTGTGATCTGTCACATTTTCAGTGAAGATTGGCTTTGTACCATATCATGAGGATGCCGTCCAATGGCTTAATGACTCAAAATGGGTATTCAAGTGTCAACTTTACATTAAAACCAGTTGCATTATTCTTTTAGGGTGAACCTGCAATAAGATCTATTTGAGTATCTCCTTTGAGGTTCGAGAAAGACCATCAGTTCCTAAAACATGTTGATTTGAGGCCGGTAGTACTTTCATTAAGATAGGCCACTGGTTGAAATGGAATTATTTCCACGGCGGTAACCATTTTGTTTTCCCCGCTAGTCGCCACTGTCTCCTGGCTACCAAGCAACGCCGGAATATAAACAAATTTATGTATAATCATAAATTGTATATAATAAGGGATAATTGACAATACGTCATTTTTTTCTCGTGAAAGTTTTCAAGTTTTTCAATAGAAAATCCGATTTAAAAATATGGAGATGGAGACTCTGGAGGTCAAATTATTGATACCCCAGCGTCCCCGATGATGCATGGGGGAGTCAGAAGGAGAGACCAGAAATTACCATGAAATCAAAGGAATTGATGACACCAGCTGTAGCAGACGAAAAGGACAGCGCCAGACCCTGATCATCGAAAGCCATTCCCAGCAAATAAAGGAGCTGACTGAGACCATGAAATCAAAGGAATTGATGACACCAGCTGTAGCAGACGAAAAGGACAGAACCATCCAGCGCCAGACCCTGATCATCGAAAGCCAGGCCCAGCAAATAAAGGAGCTGACTGAGACAGTTAGGGACCAAAACAGTAAAATAGACTGCCTGACCACCCAGGTAACACAATAATGCAAATTTTAATTCTAAATCCTACAAGGCTGTCAATTTAAATAGACCTCTTGAAAATTTAACTGACGTGACATCGACCGACGATGAAATAAAGAATGACGGCCAGTCTAGGAAAAGACGCATCGACAAAACGAACAAAACTGAGAAGACGGATGACTTCCCACCTCTTCCAAAAGCAAAATCAAAATTCAAGTTGACAGTCCCCTCAAAACCTTCTGCTTCATTAAATGTATCAACTTCTTCGGCCACTTGTCTTATGGCGGTCGATGCACATCTTCTCAATCTTTGGCCACTGCATCGACTGACGGTGCATTATCTCAACAATCTCACGTTGCTGGTGAGTTGACCAGCACAGCACCCCGCCAGGGGCGAATGACGCCCATTGTGTTGCGTGATACGACCCAGTGGCGACATCTAAACTACACCTTTATAAGCTTAGGCATTAAGATAGAACGCGCAGTTGCCGTTGATGCGGGAATCAGGGTTGTTGCCGAAAACTGAGGATGACTACCGAAAAATCGTTCGCCTGTTCAGAGAGGAGGATGTGCCCCATCATACGTTCCCTCTTCCTTTAGAACGAAATATTCCCGCGGTAGTCAGAGGCATACCCGCAATGTTTTCGGAACAGGAGATCAAAGGGGAATTAGAACAGAGGGGATATACTCCTCTCCAAATTATCCGACTCAAACGCAGTGGCGGCGCACCCATGCCTTTAGTGGTCGTGATACTGCCCAAGATTGAAAAGTCCCATCAGCTGTTCAATGAACATGAGCTGCTGGGTCAAGCAATCAAAGTTCAAAAGAACTCTAGACTTATTGGGCAGTGTCACCGCTGAAAAAGGTATGATCATGCGTAGTCTTACTGCACAGTACCTCCCAAATGTTTAAAATGTGCTTTCGACCACATGACACATTTATGCTCCCTCACAGGACAAGAGGAGCGAAAGTGTGCGAACTGTGGAGGGGCGCATTCCCACTTGCAGATTCACCCCCAGGCGTAATCTGGAAGTCATAGCGCAAAGACGCAGCAAGTCATACGCGGAAGCAGCCGTCTTCGGCTGCCCCCTCTCTTCAACCCACTTTGGACACGCAGAATGTGGACCTAGCAAATGCGCTTAAGTGCCTTCAACAAATAATAAGTCCCCTGATTAACGCGACTCAGGCATTGCAGGCGATCTTTCCGCAGTCATTGAATGGCTTAAGTACAATAGACAACCTACATTATAACGGATATTCCCAAAAAACGGGGATTTCATCAAACTCTATTGGATGAGAGTATAGACATAGCTCTGCTGCAGGAAATATTACTCAATCTGGGAGATCGCTTAGCTTTCTCGAATTATGATGTTACACGCGCTGACAGATTGAATGGTAGGGGTGGTGGCTTGGCAGTGCTCGTTAAACGTGGTAGTCAATATGGCGGGATGCATTCCGTTGAAGATCACCTCGGTGTATGTCAGGTGCGGTGCTGCGAGAGGAGGACTTGGAAGTCCTTCTAGACTGTTCGGGCCCTCTTATTGTGGCAGGAGACTACAACTGCAATCTCCGATCATGGCACTCAAGGCTTAACTCTACTTGTGGAGTTCGGCTTTACAACCATGTGATGCGAAACGGGTATCTTATTCACAGCACCGAAGAGCCGACACACCATCCTTTCAATCACCTTCAGGCACCGGATGTTATAGACTTTGCAATATCAAAAGACTGTAGGTTCAGTATTGCTTCTAGGATCTTGTATGACAACTCTAGAGACCATCTACCTGTTGTTCTAGAGGTAGGTAATGGGCATTTCGTGGAGGAGGAAACTCCTCCAAGGAAAAGAGTTGATTGGCAACTATACAAGTCATTTCTCAAAGAGTTTCCCAGCGTCCCGGTCATACATGATGAGAACAGAATTGATGCTGCTCAATCGGAGTGGACAAGTTTCGTTCACCAAACTCTACAGCGTGCTGCTATGCTTCCGGTGCAGCGACACGGCAGACCTTTTCTTCCTGCTGACATCCGTCGGAAAATTTCTGAAAAGAGGGCTGCGATTAAGCAAGCAAAAAGGTCTTGTCATCCTGATGACATTCGTAGAGCGACGAATCTCGTCCATGAAGTGAGAGATGCACTCCATGAATTCCGCAATGAGCAGTGGAGTGACTTTCTGGCGGGGATGCTTGAATCAAGTATTCCCCACTGGAAAGTGGCAAAATCGCTCAGAAACGGAAGGCAAGAACAACTACCACATATTCATGGTCCTTGAGGCATAGTTTCCAGGACTGAGTATAAAGTGGAGGTGTTTGCTCACGTCATGGAAAGGCAGTTCTCTCCCAATTATGATCTGGTCAATGACCTTGATGAGGAATGACAAATTGTAAGATCTGTCAGGAGATACTTCAGAGCGAATGGCGATACCAACATCGGTGCTAGCATTGTTGACTCCTTTTCAGAAGATTCTTCTACGGAAGATTCTTCAGATGAATCTCAGCATAGCACATCAACGGAATACTCTGAGATTCCGTTTTGTACACCAGCAGAGCTCCAATGCCACATTAAGGACCTAAAGGTGCGTAAAGCACCTGGAGAGGATCAAATTACCAACAAAGCACTGAAGTTGCTTTCACTCAAGGCTTCGACTTATCTGGTGGCAATAATCAATGCAATGCTCAGAACTCATTACTTGCCTACGGTGTTGAAGGTCGCTGAAGTCATCATGATCCCAAAGAAGGCAGGTTCGATATTCCCCCAGGATTACCGTCCCATCAATCTGCTGTCAGCTCCTTCTAAGCTCGCTGAAAAGGTGATTTATCGTCACCTTGAGAATTTCTCGTCAGGTTACCATGTGACTCCTGACGTGCAATTCGGGTTTCGGTCTGAGCATAGTATAGAGCTACAGGCAGTTAGACTGGTGGAGCATGTAACCAGCGGGTTCACCCTGAACAAAAGTACTGGTATCTTGCTTTTAGATGTATCAAAGGCATTTGGCAAGGTGTGGCACATGAGCCTCTTGTATAAGCTCATCCAAAAGGGTTTTCCTTTTTGGCTACTAAAACTGTTGAACTCTTTTCTAGAGGGAAGGAAGTTTCGGATCAAAATTATCAATGTGTTGTCAACAACACGGCCCGGCCCGTAAGAGCCGGTGTTTCTCAGGGTTCGGTCTTAGGACCTATCCTTTATTCACTTTATATACATGACGTCCCTTGCCCCAGCAACTGTGAAGTCTATCTCTATGCTGACGACACTGCATTGCTAGCCCAGTCTTGTTCTGGTAACCTGGTTCACGACAGGCTGCAGGGTGCGGTGGAGGAAGAATTGGAGTGGGCGGATCGGTGGTTGATCAAAATTAATACTTCGAAAACGCAGGCAATCTATTGTACTAAAAAACGTCGCGGTGCCCCCTCAGAGATATCAGTGAATGGAACTCGTATACCATGGGAGCAATCTGTCAGGTACCTTGGAGTCATCATTGACAAGGGATTGACCTGGCAGAAACATACTGATATTCTGAAAACAAAATTCCAAATTACCTTTCGGCAGCTTTATCCTTTGTTGTGCAGAAATTCAAAATTAAGTTTGATCAACAAGATTCGGTTGTATAAAATGGTCATAAGATCCGCAATCACCTACGTATGCGCGGCTTGGTGTTTTCTTGCCAAGACGCACATGCAGAGACTGCAAGTCCTGCAAAACAGAACCCTACGCACAATTACTAACGCCCCTTGGTACGTGTCAAATGATACTATTCGCAGAGGTCTTGATATCCCATATCTAAGGGATTACGTAAAACAACAGGCGCAGTGGCGTTATAATCAAGCGGAATCGCACAGCAACCCTCTGTTGCGTGATTCAGTAGACTACACAGTCGAGCAAGTTCGCAAACATTCCAGGCCGCGCCTCGCACTGTGATCAAAATTAAGTTGTAAATTCAGACCAGCCAAAATTATTTCAGTATACAAAACCGATCAAAATTATTTTTTGGAGTTACAGAATAATTCGAGTAGTCAAAGCAATAATGCTTAAGCTATTTCAAATGTTTTACTTCTTTTCTTTGCTCTATTACTTCCTTCCTTTCTTTCCTTCTTTCCCTTTTCCCCTTAAACATGATTGGTATCTGGGTAGCCAGACTTGACAGACTAACAGACCGACGAGACTTTTTACTAAGAGCAAAGGTCTACTGGACCGCTCTGACAAATGATAACGAATAGTAGTATCATAAGTGAAAGGCGGTGTCTGTCCTCTATACAGGGTGTTTCAATTTCGACCCTCACCATTGGGATCTTGGAAACTGTAAGAGATACAAAGTCACTTAAATGGGGGCAAAGTTGCGTCTTTAGGTGATCAACAAATTACTGCTTAGAAAGTTTCGAAATTCAAAGTACATACTTTGAACTGAATTTTCCTGAAATCCTTTTAAGTGTTTATTAAATTTAAAAATAAAGTCCATTTCAACACTGCCTCTTTTTGTCCTCTATAAGATAAAATCAGAGTTTCAATATGACGTTTCGTTACTTGTCCTCCAACGTCAACTTTATTTTTTCTTATAGACGCCATATTGGATTTTTGCACAGATGAATATAGTTTTTAATTCTGAATCCCAAAATGTATAGTACGTCATACATTGATATTGCCAAATCTTAGTTATTTCAAGGAAAGCAGAATTTCTTAGATAGGCCTTGAAATTATCAGATAGTCATTTGTTTTGCATACAAGATTTATCCCAAAACCACTTCAATTTTTTTCCTGAATTTGACATGGGATTTCAAAATAAATTGCAGGTTGTTATTGTACAATTCCACCTTTCCTTTTTCGACTTCTATCACCAACATTGTTTTTTCATATGGACGCTATATTGGAATTTTGCACATTTAAATGTGATGTATTTCCTTAGTTGGACATGAATTTGTCATTGGATGAAAATAATAGCGGAATCAAAAGGTATGGTGAAACCTGAACATAAAATGAAAATTGTATTGATGGTTATAACAATAATAATCATAAATAAGCAGAGGTAAATCATATCAGATGTTTTGATTGTGCGTTATTTTGTAGGCAAAGCCTGACTCTTCCGTGCATTGTTCACTGCTTGATTTATTTCTCTTCTCTACAGTCTTCCTAACTCAGTTGCTATGCTTAATTTGAGGTTTGGTCTCAATTACGAAACAAATGACTCTCTGATAATTTCAAGGCTTGTCTAGGAACTACTGTTTTCCTGGAACAACTAAGGTTTATCAATGTCAATGACATATCATACATTTTTGAAATCAGAATTAAAAACCCTCTTCATCTGTGTAAGTATCCAATATAGCGACCATAAAAAAAAGTGAAGTTGTTGCTGGAGGACAAGAAAAAAATCGTCATATTGAAACTCTAATTATGACATCTTGTATAGGATAAAAAGTGTCAATGTTGGAGTGCAGTTTTTTTTAGAATCCCACTACAAATAAAGTCAGGAAGAAATTAAAACTATTTTGGTAAAATTCTGTTTTACCATTGCTCTTCGGAAATACTTTGAATTTCGATTTTTTTGCCCCCACTTAAGCAACATCGTATCTCTTACAGTTTCCGAGACCCAAATGGTATCACAGTTTAAACCTTATTTCACTATTGTTATTGGTGAATTTCGAAGCGATACATCAAATTCGCAACAACGAGCATGAAATATGTGAATTGTCGTTTCTCCTAACACTAATTCAATCTGTGACAAGCATGTTGTACCAACAGTTTCCTATCGTTTTACGCTCTACGTCCGACAACATTGCACAGTTGTGTCGGCACCAAAGTTCAGCCAGTTTCGGTTAACAAAAACGTATCTGTAACATGTGGCAAGTGGAGCAAGTAATTGAATAATTTATAGGGTTGAACTCAGCTATCGCGGTATGTATTCGTCAAGAATAATATTGTTCACTGATTCTAAAGAACGTTAGTTGACCTATATTATGGAAAGGGTTTTTAATATTTCTTAATATAAAATATGACGGAAGAATTGCGAGAATGCAAATAGCAGAACACAGTGCAAGAAGCGATCCCATCAAAACCATGGTTTAAAAATATATGCGCTGGTAGAAATCTTATTACTACTTACAGTAGATTGATGTTTTGACTTGGCTGTTACCCTGCACTGTTAGCAAAGCAGAATATAAATTGACTGGGATGCCTGCGAAAAATGTAACCGACCTGCAACTTTGGATCATATCTTTTTCAAATGCCGAATATGTCACGAAGAAGGTATTTAGCGATTCTTACATAGAATGGGGACTGTTGGCATATACTCCCCCTACAAATTAGGTAAAAAGGATTACAACCTATAATTACATATGACTCATTATTCTTCATTATTATTCTTTTACTATTCATCATTATGATTCCTTATTATTGTTATTATTATTATTCATATTGAGACTGGCTGCATAGACTCTTTATATTTTTATGCCAAATAAAAATAAAAGAAAATGCCATAATGGAAACTGACACACAATTAGTCCATAGACATTCTTTCCTTACACTGCCGGTAGTCCATCTGACAACGTCGCATCTCCCTGCACAACACGTTAGACGCGGCCGCGCGGCAGTAAGGCCATGACACTCACCAAGACCGGTATGCTCGCCGGTGATCCCAGACAGCAGGAGCAGGGACGCGTATCGAAAGCATTTCTCATTTTCATTCTAAGTGTTAAGGGCAAATGTACGGCGAAATCTGTGATGTGTAAAATATGTCTAGTAAATGCGTAGAATTACTAAGAAAAATGAAACGAAAAGACGAAGTTAGAACGATTTTTATTTTATCAGTTTAGGCCTTTTTCTCTGCCGCTACTAACTGATTCCCAAAAGCTATAATGATTTTTCGTCCTTAGCACAGTAGCTTAGTTGTATCATTTTATGTATTTGTCATTTCATTTAAAGCTTTCAGATATCTGCTAAACTTTGTTTCACCTTTTTTTTATCTAGCCTGGACTATAAGGCGTAGCTTATGAATGTACCTCATCTTTATTTCTTAGCTTCTTGAGGTTATTAATGGAAATCCCAACTAGGCAGCAGCGGTGGCCGCAGTACTCTTCGGTCTCCTGATCAGTCGCCGTGCGCTGTGCGGGTTCGAGTCCCGTCCCAGGAGAAATTTTTCTCTTGGCTATGGATGTTGTGATTGTCCGTAGGTGGTAGACAGTCTCTGACTGTCGAACACGGAGGTACGACCCGGCGGATCTCGTAGGCGGAGCCAGAATGTGTGCATGTTGCATGCACACGTGTTCCCTCGCCAGAGTCCGTGTGGCGTTCCCCCTTTCCCATGTATCCCCCTATAGCCCCACGGTACCCAATGGGTGCTTAGGCCTTAGGCCTTCGTGGTGGTTGGAGTATAAAAAAAAGCACAGTAGTTTAGTTGTAGTCACCGTTCTTGGCGGGTCGAACTGAGACTACCAGTTTCTTTTTATCTCCATCTCCCTCATACATACACTTGCAACCTACCCCTGTGTGTGAACGTTTATTCGGCAAGCTCAAAGACATATGTTTTTTAGTTGTGTCTCTGAGTATAAGTGTCGTTACTTGACATTGGCGTGCAATTTGCGTTGTTCTGTTATCAATCTTCAATATAAAGTTGTACAATGCCCGGAAATACGATCAATCGAGAAGGCCGACAGCTCGTGCTAAATTTATTAGAGTATATCCAGAAAAACAATGAAAACAGCGATCCCCTGTTACCCACGTCAGGTGTACTGGAGAGAGTTGGATTAGTAGATCCTCCCATGGTACGGCGACTCGATCTGTTCACTTATTTCATATGACGTTAATAACGTAACCACCAAGAACGATGACTACAACTATTGACTATTGTGTTAAAATTTCATCAAAATCCGACTAGTACTTTCCTTGTTATAGACGGGTCAAGGATTAGCAGACAAACAGACAGACAGATAGATCAGCATACCGACGTAAATGAGTGACATGGTTTTCCGTGATGTACATATCAGATAACATCCAAAAAATGTACATGCTTCTTCACCAGTTGGTGTGGAAAGAAAAAATGGGCTCTGTTACAACTTCACCGCCAGGAATCATAGAAATAAAGGCATTGAAAGTCAATATTGAAGAAAAAATCACCTTCAGAGCAAAATGTCGTGTAAGTAACACAAACAGGAGAAAAGGGGCACAAATGTGTAACAACTCATAAAGTAACGTGGCCACATCTAGCGGAATGGATTGAAAACAGTTTGCCTAAGTGATGTACTTTGGCTCACTCTGTAGAATATAATTATTCGACTGTAACTTGTTAGCGTTATCTCGTATCATATGCTCCAGCTACCGCTGTTATAGAGAACTTAGAATTTACCTCATATAACCGTCGTGCTTCTTTTGAATGAGCTTGTGTGCATATTTCTATTTCATGGCTTCATAAAAACAAGTTTATCTTTCGTTTGGTAGTCATTTAGCTTCCAACTATTGTAGTGGTTGTTTGCACAAAATAAAGAGATTTTTCAAAAGCCATTTCGCTCCAGGCAAACTTAATTTGTACGTACCTTTGTACATTGTATCCTCATTGGTTCTTCTGCCAATGAAAGGAACTGAAGGGAAAAGCCTAAGTGTTTCTTTCACTACACATTCTAGGTACCTCATTTCTTGTAAGTCGTTCAACGTGGCGTTTCTGTTGAAGTCGTCTCCAAATATGCTTATCTGTTCTTCTAAGATTTTTTCCTAGAATAAAACTTAGGTTATTTACAACTTTTGAAATTCTAGCTTGGAATGTAGCAACAATTGAAGTTCAAGTAGCTTGAAATGTCAAGATTATATACAATACAATAAAGAACTGACGAGTATTTTTACATTTGGATGAGTAGTAAAATTGTCATTTCAACATGTACTTTAAAAAAGGTCACTGTAGTGGTCGAAACGTCAGTAAAAGGTAATTTCTGCATATGTAGTTTCTTTCGGCCAAGAAAACATGGAGTTATATGGAAGTAAAGTTATGTCAACCTTCCATCAAAATCCGTGCAATAATATAGCAATAATTTGGAAAGCATTAATTTAAATCAATGTTCACGAAACTTGAAATTTCAAGAGTATAAGTTCAATATAACAAAAAAATAGTTTTGCATTTTTACAAAAACTCACCTGCACATCTGGATGAGTAGCCACTTGGAAAACGCAAAAACTTATTGCTGAGGCTGTAGTGTCATGGCCCTACAAGAATATAACATGTTATATTCGTACATTGAAACGAAAAACACAAAAATACATTTTGGAGGCGTTCTGGATTTTTTTCGTTTTTTGGCTAACAACTTTGACGTCACTTAACCCATCTTTGAAAACAATAGCAATGAAAAACTTTCATCAACATTCAATTGATATTTTTTCAAATTTACAAAATAACGGAAATAGGTGACATGATTTTTCACGTTGTAAGGTAAAATTCAGATTCTTCTCTGACTCAAGTTATTTGATATATCGTAAAAATTATGAATGTGTCTTAAAAAAATGTTGGACGAATCCAGTGATGGCAGATATTTTCAAAAGATGGTGGGTGAGTCAATCGTTTCTTACGCGGCGTACCTATGCGTTAAAAATGGTGAACGAGTCAACATACTACAATGCCCCGTCATTCAGTAGTTTCTTCTTACCTCAAACATGAACGTATCAACCTCCTCCCTAATATCCTCCCTGCTAAGAGGTTGTCCATCAATAGTTGACCTCAAAAGGATATCCAGAAACGCCATCTTCCTCTTTATCCCCGTTGCCTCATTCTCCTGCCTTTTTGCTTCACTCATTGCCAACTCCTGTTCTAATTTTTTCATCCTAGAGTCAATGACCGAGTAGGTGACTGAGTGGAGGTGCCTGACAGCTTGCTGTTCTCTAAAAAAGTCTTTAGAGAGGGGGTAGAGGAGTTGACTAGATTTGAAGATCGTATGGGGACGGATAGCGACTATCCTGCAGACCTCTTTTACGTATCTGACATAGTCGGATTCTGAGTCTTCTTGTGCATTCACTGTGATACCCATGGCAGTTTCTGGAAAAAATGGATCTTGTAGAAGTGCAGTATTACTTTTATCACATAAAGGCGACTAATATCCGAAGTGTAACCATCGAGAGGGGTATTATAAAAAAAAACAAAAGAACGTCAAAAAAACCGACGAAATATCATCTTGCTGCATAGGTAGCTTTACTGTGTGCAAATAGTTCATTGCACGTTTGTTCGCCGTTCGCTGACGTAAGCATCACATACAGCTATAAAACGAGTTGTGCTGAGTTAACATTTTGTAGAAAAACCTACGTTATGTCACAGAAAACCTACGAAATGTCAAAAAAAATGAAATGTTTCTTTTCAAAGTTACGTAATACCCGGGCCGGAACTGCAGTATCTACTAGGGATGCACGTATTGTAACAAGAATGAATAGTACTGTTGGCGACATCTGTTGGGGATCGTGCCAGAGGCTCTCCTTCGGTGGCGACATCTGTTGGGAACCGCGCCAGGGACTCTTATTCGAGATCGACGCGAAGTGACCTCGAAGATTCTGGGCTGCCGCTATGTGGCTCACCGGAACCTTCTCGAATCAACGAGTACCTGCGATACGGACTATATTGGACGACGGCCGGGAGAGGCAAGAAGAGTATAGTTCAGTGAATAGCGCATAAATAAATATTCAGACATAAATAGTGGTGTATAAATGTTCTATCTAGTCAAGTTAAATAAATTAGTGCATATCCTTTTGTGGAATCCAGTGTTTTAATCCACACCCAAAAGAATCTAGAAAAACGCTACAGCGTCTTGAAAAGTGACATTAGGTCGTTTTTTCTGACATAACGTAGGTTTTTTTGACATTACGTAGATTTTTATACAAGATGTTAACTTAGCACTAGCTGATGGATACTTGTGAACTCGTTTTGTAGTTGTACGTGTTGAATAAACGTCATGATGCTTCAGGTATCAATGTCTCTGATGTGATCTAACATCTGCTTCAGAGATGGCATTATTGGAGGACTAAGCTGTAAGTTGTATACTATAGCTGGAAGGAAATGGCAGTGCATAGGTACATGGTGAGGATTTGTGTGCCAATAATCTGTGTTGATGATAATTCCATTGGTCTCTTGTCTCAAATACACTTACTTGAGATGTATGCAAATCTAAATAAAAATCAGTTATGCATACACTTTTTCTTACTCAATCTGGAAATTACATATGCAAATTTGCTGGATTTCAAAAAAGAGAGCGATAAGAAAGGAAAATCCCTGGTTGGTTTAGTACACTGATTCCCAAAGTTGTCTATATCGACCCCTAGGGGTCTATGACAACCTGCAAGGGGTCTACGTCAGCGAAAAAAAAATTGGGGGTCCATGAAATGAATATGGGGGTCCACGGTAGTGGATCTCAACACATACACCCAGAGATGACTGATGCCATGTCCGAATCTAAAAAGAAATGTGTTGATTATTTGAAATTTGGCTTCATTCCATCATTGCCGGGCAAACAATTGCCTATGTGCCTTTTATGCAACAAAGTTTTGGGCAATGACGCTATGAAACCATCTAAACTGCAAGATCATCTGAGAAGATGCCACCCTGATAAAATAGAGAAAGATTTGAAATACTTTCAAACACTCAAGGATAAATTTCAGAAGAGACCTACCCTGGACAGAATGTTCCCTTCGATGTCACAAAGAAATGATGATGGTTTGCGGGCGTCTTACAATATCTCGTTACTTATAGCAAAATCCGGAAAACCGCATACTATCGGAGAGAAGTTATATTTGCCAGCCGTTGAAGAGGCTTTAAAAACTGTTTTACACAAGCCTGCATCTGATATCATTAAAAGAATTCCCTTAAGCAACAATACTGTTGAAAGACGTATTGATGAAATGAGTTCTGATATTGAAAGCTTCTTATGTAATTATTTGCAAACGACCCATTTCTCTATACAACTGGACGAGTCAACTTTACCTGATAATGCAGCATTATTATTGGCATATGTTCGTTTTAATATGAATCAAGAAATCTACGAAGTACTGCTCTTCGCAAGAACTTTGATAACCGACACTAAAGATGAATCAGTATTTCATGTTTTGAAGGATTACTTCATTGAAAAAGCAATTCCTTTATCAAATATAATATCAGTAGCTACAGATTGAGCACCTACCATGGTTGGACGTTATCGTGGATTTATAAGCTATTTAAAACAAAATGTGTCAGGGGTGTTAGCAATACATTGCGTCATCCATCGACAACTTTTAGTTGCTAAAAATTTGAGTGTTAGATTGCATGAATCACTTCATTTAGTCATTGATGCAGTAAACCGAATCCGAAGCAACGCGTTGAATACGCGGTTATTTGCGCAGTTGTGTGAAGAATATGACGAACACTTTCATCAATTACTCCTTCACACTGAAGTACGCTGGCTGTCGAAAGGCTTATGTTTGACAAGATTTTTTGCACTTTTTGAGACTATTTTAGAATTTCTGGATACTAAAGATAAAATTTTAAAAGAAAATTTAATGAAGAGAAAAGCAGACGCCTATTTAACAGATTTGTTTCCAAAATTTAATATGGTTCATTTGCAATTACAAGGCAACAGTTTAAATTCGATTAAAACAAAGTCCATCTTATCAGCGTTTCTTGCCAGAGTTAAACTAATGAAGCAAAATATTGGACGGGGCGAATTTTCTCAGTTCCCCAATTTGTCACAGACAAGCTGCCAGGAAGACGACGTTTCAACTTACGTTCAACATTTAAATGCCCTCTATTCAGATTTTGAATCTGACTATGGTAATACCACCGTGGATAATTAAACCATATGGTGACATAGAAGAAACGAATGTCATAATACAAGAGGAACTGACTGAACTAAGTACAAACGAAGAACTTAAGGTTCAGTTTAAAAACGGATATCAGCAATTCTGGCTGCAAAACAACATACCCGTTACTTATCCCGTATTATGGAATATAGCCGGGAAATTTTTAATTTCCTTTCCATCGTCATACCTAGTGGAAAGGGGGTTCAGCGCTGTTACCAATCTCCTAACGAAAAAAAGAAACAGACTGGACATCATTAGCCGAGGAGATTTAAGATTAACCCTTACAAAATTGACGCCAAATGTTGATAATTTATTATTAAAGCATCAGGTTCATCCTTCTCACTAAAAATATTGACTTATTGATTATGTTATTTTATTTATAGTTTATTTTATGCTTATTGGTGTCTGACCAATAAATGCCCGCATTGGGAATAAGTGCCCGCATTGATTTTTTTAAAGAACCCCCCTTTATAGAACTTTTTTTTTAAATTATTCTGAAAATTCAAGGATAGGTACACACTAAAATTCGTTAATTTTTTGCCTATTTTTAGATAACTTAAACGTATAAGAAGCGGAATTTAATCAAACTAACAGTGAAATTATTGTAGAACATACGATTAATAAACGAACTCGCTTATTGTACTATTTTAAGTAAAAAACTTTTTTTTATTATTTTTCACTTTTTTTATTTTATCCCTCTTATTTTTTTTCAATGCGGGCACTTATTCCCAATGCGGGCACTTGCTCAGACACCTGTTTATTTAATGTTACGTATATTTTACATAACAGATACAAAATTTTATTTTGAGTAGTTTTAATTTAAATTCAATTAATAAATGTATAAATTAACATGTGTTTTTACTTTAAGTTTTTAACACTAAACTTCACTACAGTTAGAAATTCACAGGAAATCAATATCAGGTAAGTAGGGGGTCTACCCAACACGGAAAAACATGGCAAGGGGTCTACGACACAAAAAAGTTTGGGGAACTCTGGTTTAGTATATTAAAACTAACAGGTGAAAAAATATGGTACATACAGGAATATTTATGAAACGTAAAAAAGGCTGTTACTTTACACATTATTTTCTATTTTCAGTCATTTAAATTTTATATAAATTTATTTTACGATGTCAAGTTGAAAATACAAATTAGCGCCTAGATGTGCGACAGTGCCAAAATGTTTCGAATGTGATGCGTCATTCCTAATTTTCCTGTGATGTGACTTAATCACACACATCGCGGGTACGGTGCTGATTTCCCGTAATGCTTCTCAAGGTTTTTGAAAACCCAAAAACACAGGAAAAATCGTAATGCATAACTTTGAGCATAACCTCTCATCAGAAAGGACAACACAAATAACGCGTCTGGTACGGCTAATAGATATATTTCATTATACTTAATTCATTCAGTAATAATTTTCTCACAAAGCAAATATCACATATTATTCCAATCATGGAATCAATGATCAGAATAGATGGACGGCTAGCCAGTGAAAGTGCTTTGAAGAAGATTGATACAAATTTAACGTAAGCTGAATAATTTGTTCATAAAAAATATGCACTGTATTTCTTATACCGCTGCGTATCATAATAAGCATGTGGATGGTTCTGAAATTGCAGCCAAGCGACTTGAACTTCGCTGCAATCGGTAAGCGTATCGATCCAACTTTAAAATCACTTACCGCAAATGACGTCAAGAGCATACAGGGTGATGTATTTGTATATATCGATGTCCTTATCAACTAAGCTTTCCAGCTTTCGTATCAATACCTTTCCTTGTGTCTCAAATGTATCTACGAATTGTTCTAAGATAGAAAAATGAAAAGCGGGTGTTAACAGTCGCCTCCTCTTCTTCCATTTGGGACCTAGAAAATTAAACTATGGTATACAACGAAATTCTCCTATTTTTCTGTTCTGAATAGAGCTCTGCGACGTTGTATCAGCTTTTGATGGCAATGTCCTGAATCGGTGTCCCAAATTACCTCAGCGTACTGAGTTTGTCAGTCAACAACATGGAAAAAAAGTTGACAACCGATTTTAAATATTTCTGATGAGTTTATTCCAAAAAGCCGGTCATTTTTTTGGTAGCAGCTCTAGTTCTAGAGTTATAAGCCATTTGGCATTTGGAAATTGGCAAAAAATGTCATTGAACTACAGTAGAACCCCGATTATCTGAAATAATGTGGACCCAAGTACTTTCGGATAATCGAAATTTCGGATAAAACGGAAATAAATATTTTGGCTTATAATGCTTTTATTGAAAAAAGTAAATGCATGTGTTAAGTAAGTATATACTTATATAAAGTTACGTAAAATATAAACATGTGGATACAAACATACATATTTACGAGTACATATTTAATATCAATGGAAGTAATTTTTAACTGTACACGTTTTGCATTGTTCCTATTTTTGGCAACAATTTCCCTCCAGCGTTTGATAAGTAGCACATTAGCTGCTGTCACATATTAGTTTGTAGTTCGACGTAAGTCAACGCTTTTTGTAGTGCTTCTAATCCCTTAGAATATTATATTCTGGCAGAGATTTCTGTCTCATTGTCACTGGCTTAATTATAGTCGACCAAGATTCTTGTAAAGTAGAATTATTTACTTGGCTCTATGCTTCTGCTATCCAATATGCCACAATCAACGAGGTTACAACCATTATCAACCTGATCTAAAATTTGCTCTAATAACAAACATCTGTAATTGCGTCTTAAATTTCCTAAAACTCGTTGATCCATTGGCTGAATCAGTGACGTTACATTAGGAGGCAAAACCATCAGACGTATTTCTCCACTTTTAAGTTGCTCCTCACTTGGGTGGCGCGGACCATTGTCTAATAGCAAAATACATTTTCTTCCGATATCCGCGTTCCTTCAAATATCGTTCTGTTTTGGGAACAAAATGATTGTAAAACCAGTCGTCAGAGAGCGGCATCCATCCAGGCATTTTTTTATTTCTATACCACACTAGAAGAGCGTTGGGACGGACGTGTTTAAATTCTTTTGTTTTAGCTGATTGTAACCAGGAGCTCCAAATTCTTGTTTTGGAGCTAAACTTTTGGCCGGTAACAGTGTATAGTTTAGGCCCGTTTCGTCGCAGTTGTAAATTTGTTTTGGATGTTGTTTTATTTCGATTGTGAAATGGTACTCACGCCCACACTCAAATCACTTCCCACGTTTTTAAGCAAATCAGCTCTATCTAAACGTCGGATTGCCTCAAGTTTCTGTTCTGTCGTGATAACAACGCGTTTATGATTATTTATATGCTGCTCCATCTTAGTGATTATGAACCTGACTGAAACAAACATACCCGCACACATACCAGTGAATTCCGCAAACGCGCTTGGCGAATCACCGACAGCGAATCTAATGACGCAAACGCCGAAAGGGAAACTACCGGCGGCTATTTCGGATCATGCGCAGATTTCCCGAACAACCTCGGTTAAAACGGAGAAATTATTGAATGCGATCTGTTTCGTATGTACTGTATATGAAAAAACGAAAATTTTATTGTAAAAATTCCTGAATATCCTTCATACATACATTAATCAAATCTCAAAGCATTTTAGGGGGTATTGTTGATGTAAAAATTTCCTTTTTAATTGTTTAAAATTGTTTATAATTGACTTATTAACTGTCAATGGTGTTCATGAAATCATCAACGAATTTACATCAAATGGGAGGCGCAAGATGTAGGCACATTCACCATATAATTTATCATTGTTTACGTTTACATAATAAGTCAAATGCAAATTAAAAGCAAATGTTTACAATAACAATACCCCTTTAAATACTTTGAGATTTTGTTAATGTATGGATGAATGATATTTGGATCATTGATCTTATGCAATTAAATAAATCTATGACATACCGTCACTTGTGAGCAATCCTGTGCCCAACCAATTCATTAGGTAAGTATAGACGGTCGACTTATTAAGTACCTTCTGACCACCCAACATGAATTCGAAAAAATCGTAGTCGCAACTTATGATCCTTGGTTTCATAGCAACTTCCAAAAGAAGAAGTTTTCCATGCTTGTCGAAGAACCCTTGAAAGTTTGCAAAAGTTTCTGAAACCACAAACAGTAAAAAAATTAATAATCGATGTACCAAGAGTTAGCGTTGCAAGGGGCTCATGGTTATGTTTTTATCAATTTAGCTGAGAAAGTATGTTCCTTATTAATTTCGGTAAAATCAACCGTTTTTGAGAAAAACTTTCTTATTTCAGTAACGTTTTTTGATTACTTCAATATTTTCAGGTAACCTAACCATATTTTAGGCCTTTGTCTAACTTGACGCAATGTAAATCAAGTACAAAAAAATAAAAATGCAAAATCAAATTTTCGCCGATGACATTTAGATTTATATAAGTAGTCAGAATATTCAGTCTGGTATATCTTATATAAATGAATACTTGAAGGTTATTTCCAAATGGTTAGCATCTAACAAACTCAAATTACGAAATTTATGTTAATTGGCATAAACAAATGTACAAATCAACTAAACATTGATGGTGAAGATACTGATTGCGTAGAAAATTGTAAATACCTTGAGCCTTTTGTTGACTCCCAATTAAATTTTGATATTCATTTCGAGAGAATTATAAGCAAGATTAGTAGTAAAGTTCGATATTTATCAAGAGTTTCTGGGGGTCTTGGTCCATATAGTAGAAAATTATCTATTCTTCCAAATGTCTTGTACTGTTCGACTATTCTATATTTAGCAAATAATTCCATTTTAGAAAGACTGCATATTTTACTCCAATTAGACAAATGCTCAGCAAATAAAATGGCTTAACGTCAAATGTTTTGTGATGACACTCATTTATAAAGTAAAAAACAATATCGAAATAAGACAGCGCAAAGCGCCATCTATCACACCAGAATCGACCACTGCGGAGAGCGCATCTTTTTAGTGGGACAGACGAAAGCATTATGTTCAGCATAAAAAATAATATATTTCCACCATGTCTGACTAAATTAACATCATC